GGGGGCGATCCGGTTGTGGGGCCTGAACTCTGGGCCTGGGTGCTATCCCTCAGCTCTTCAGCTCAAGGCTAGCATTCTACCACTTGAGCCACAGCACCACTTCTGGCTTTTTTTTTCTGTTTATGTGGTGCTGAGGAATCAAACCCAGGGCCTCAAGCATGCAAGGCAAGCGCTCTACCACTGAGCCACCTTCCCAGCCCCTAATCATTATTTCTTAATGGTATCTCTGGGTACCTTTCTCTTAGATTTTGTCTTCATTTCCTACTAACACCATTATGTGAACTAAAAATCTGACCTGAAATGAAACTTTCTTCAGAACTTACTAAATTCTGTTGTTTTGCAACTAAAAGTCAGGAAAAATTCACTAGAATCTTGGAAAACTATAATTTGTTTAATTGGTATAAATAGTTGGCAAGTACCAAACTGTAAATATTAAGACATTTTAAAGGCCTCTTTGTATATTTTGGCTTTTCTTTGTCCAGAATTTCAGGGTAAAGATGTGTAATTACTTACTGGTATGTGTAAGCTGGGGGGATCTCTGTATACTTGGAGCAATTGTCCACAATTAACATTTAAAACAAAAAAGAAATGTATTACCAAAACACACCCATAATCCACATGTCAAGAGAAACTTCACTCCCAAGTAAGTTTTTAAGTTTTTTCTAATCCGTCAATAGATTATATTTCATGAATGGCAGGAGTGAAATTCAGGACTTTTTGCCAAGTACAGAGTAGGTTTATGCTGCCGACTCCATTTCAAAGCTGTGTGAACAGCTCACTGAGCTTGTTTCCTCTGCCCCCCACACACCATAACCACCCACCAGGGGGCTAGGGAAGAGCCTCTTGTAGTGGGAAAGTCAAAAAACTGATTGTATGTTTCCTGTGAGCCGCACCAGCTGTTCTTCTCCATAGACATCCCTTTGAGAGTCCTCTTTTATGACTAAACTTAACCAACATGGCCTTGGCAAGGAAGAGCTGTGGGGCTGGATCAGTCATCACAAGGAGCCTAAGCCAGAATTGCTCTCTGCCTGGTACGTGGTGTCAAACATTGAAACAAATTGTATATTATAAAAAATGACTCATACCAGGTGCTGGTGGCTCATACCTATAATTCTAGCTACTCGGAAGGCTGAGATTTGAGGATCACAGTTCAGAGCCAGCCCAGGCTGGAAAGGCCATGAGATTTTTTTTAAATTATATTTTATTATCCATTTTATTATTTATTTATTTATTTTGGTGATCATGGGGCTTGACCTCAGACTGGGCACTGTCCCTCAGCTCTTCAACTCAAGGCGAGCACTCTACCACTTGAGCCACAGTGCCACTTCCAGATTTGTGGTGGTTCATTGGAGATAAGAGTCTCATGGACTTTCTTGCCTGAGCTGGCTTTGAATCATGGTCCTCATGTCTCAGCTTCCTGAGTAGGTAGGATTACAGTGAGCCACAGGGATCCGGCTCAGGAGATTCTTATTTCTAAATAACTACCAAAAAAAGAAATCTGTGGTTCAAGTAGTAGAGCACTAACCTTGAGCAAAAGTAGCTCAAAGACAGTGCCTAGGACTTGAGTTCCAGCTGCAGGACCAGCCCCTCTCTCCCCCCAACAAAATCACCAACACAAATAACAACAGCTCTTTGTAGCAAATGGTATAGCATCACTATTAGTCAATGTTTTGTCAATAGTGTTCCATGTATCTGTCTCAAAGTTTATCTCCACCTCTCTAATGTTTTAAAGTAAATCAGATACAACACTTTAAGGGTTTGAGTATGTATCCCAAACAGTAAGGCTTCTCCCCCAAATAAAAACTTATACTGATGTCCAGTGTGACTATTTTAATGTCAGTATTCAGGCTTACACCTGTTAATTTCCTGGACAGATCTGGCTTCAATGCATACTTAGGGGAAGATGTTGCATTTGATTGATGAGATTGTGCCTATTCCTGGGATCTGCTTTTCTTTCTTCAAAGTGTCCTAGTTTGGAATACATGATTCAGAAGCTTTTTTGTACGTGTGATTCTCTCTTCCCCAACCCCCTTGGAATTGCTTGGTTAAAGCAATAGCTTCTCTTTAAAATTCCTACATTGGCCAGGCACCCATGGCTCAACATCTGTAATCCTAGGTACTCAGGCTGAAATTTGAGGATGGTGGTTCAAAGTCTGCCCAGGCAGGAAAATCCATGAGATTTGGCTGGTTTCATCTTATTTCTTTACCCCCAGCCTCCTGGACATAGAAGTTAGATAGATTGCACATTACTCTATGGTATAAACTATGTGTTCATGCATGGATGTATTCACTGGCAAGTACTTTCATAGGTGATGTGAAAATTAGGTGCCATCTTCGTTTTCACATCCAGGGCAGGGCACACACACTGTTTTGGTTCTTAATTGTGTTGAAATTCACGGCCTTCTCTTTGTTCAAATATTGTCATCTTCACCCATCAGTATTCCCCATCTAACTCTGGTTTGATAGCTTTGTATCCATTGATACTCATAGACTAGTTCAGTTATTTAGTTGACTTCTATTTTGATATTAAACAAACTGTAAGTTGAATTATTCTGCTAGTTTTTTTTTCTTCTGGTATTTTTGCTGGCAGTCCTAGGGTTTTACTAGATAGGAACTCTGCCTCTTGAAACATTCCTGCAGCCCTTTATGTATGTAGTCATTTTTTCAGAGAACGTCTTCTTTTTGTATTGCAGTGGCTTCAAATCATGATCCTCCTATCTCTACCTCCCATATAGCTGCAGTTACAATTGTATGCCACTATTGGCCATATTTTGGTACTGCATACATTTTTGAGTCACTGATATAATTTTCATTTTTAAATGAGCCATTTAGAAACCACACAGCAACTAAAAGTTTAAGAATTTGAAAATCTCTTCTGTTTATGAACATTTTCATATTTGTCTTATTAAATCATCATCAAAATATAAGCCAAATTCTGAGTCTTAGTAAAATGACAGTCTTGTGCTGATTCTAATGATATTTAAAAGAAAATTGTCTTTTAGTAGCCTCTTTATGTAGGAAGTCAACTTGAGGTTACAGTTACTCTATCTTGTAATGGAGGGATTTTTGAAAATTGAGTTAAATTCTACAATATTAAGAATTGTTATTATAAAGGTGATGTACAGAGGTGTTACAATTACATAAGTCAAGAGGCCATTTCTTTTTGGACAGTATTAGTCCTTCTCTTGCTTTCTGTATTCTGGAGTATTTTTGTCACTTCACGAAGAAAACACCACGTCTATTAGGTGCTTCAGTCCTATAAATGACAACCACTAATAAATTTTTGGTCACCATGCATGTAGACTAGAATAGGAAATTTTGCCTATGCTGTACATTTCATTTTAGTCCAATTATAACATTATCCTTTGTGTTTTCAAGATTCATGGGTATTGTGACAACAGTCAGTTTTTTAGGTTCTCTTCACAGCTATTAATATGCCATTGCATGTGTGTGCCCCTTTATGCATTCTGCAGTGAATGGGCCTGAATTGTTTCATTTTTGCTGTTGTAAATAATGCCGTGATGAACATCCTTGTACATGCTTGTTTAGTGGTGTTGTACATTTGCTTGGGTATTTTTCTAGGAATGTTCATATAATAAGCTTCTAGAACTGCCATGTTTTCTTCCAAGGCAGCTGCTTTGTTTTGGTTGTTTGTTTTGCTTTTTTGGTATATTCTTGCCAACAGTATACCTACATCCTCGAAAATGAGCAGTCTGATTTTTTAAATTTACGACCTATGATTATTTTGAGGGAAATCATATTTGGACACTAGTGTCTATCTATCCATGCCATTACTTTTAGGCTTCTTTGGTAGGATGACATGAAATAATTTCTAACTCCAATCCTGGGTTTATCCAGTTTTAGATAATCCATAGTTAAGATTATTGGCTAATTACAATTGGTTCTACTTTCACTTTGTATTGTAATTCTTGACAGTAACTAACTGTGGGAGTTTCGTTTTTTTGCATTGCTGGAGATCAAACTCAAGGCTTACACATACTAAGCAAAACTCTACCACTTTTCCACAACCTCAGACCACAACCCATTATTTTTCTTTTCTTTTTGCCAGTCCTAAGGCTTGAACACAGGGCCTAGCCTCTTTATGTTCAGGGCTAGTGCTCTACCACTTGAGTCACAGTGCACCACTTCTAGCATTTTCTGAATAGTTTATGGAGATAAGAGTCTCACAGACTTTCTTGCCTGAGCTGGCTTCCAACTACGATCCTCATCTCTCAGCCTCCTGAATGGCTATGGTTACAGCCAGGAACAACTGGCACCTGGCCCACAACCCATTATTCCACCACCATATACATTCAGTGATTTCAAAATAAACACTAAGACTATTCAAATGTAAGTTTTTCTTTTGTGTCTCTAGGTATTGGTCTGTTACTAGGTTGTATCTGATTAAGGCAGTATGTTTCAGTTAAAAACTAGGAAGGACTCTAAATAGAATGTTGCAAAAATAAGCTAGACACAGTAGGCTTATTGATTTCATTTACCTGTGCAGAACAACTTGTCTGCTCTGAGGAAACTACTTTTAGGAGACAGGGCCGGCAGGAAGCAGAGCAATTCCAGGGTGCTGCTAATCGCTCTGTCTTTGTTTGATGCTGTACACCTGAGCACACTGCAGTATGTCAACGTTTCCGGTTGTCTCCTCACGTAACCAGGCTGCCCTGGAATTTGCAAGCTTTGACCTTCTAAGTGCTGAGATTACAAGTATGTGTCACCACACCTGGCAATGCATATTTTTCTTTGTGCAATAGAATGCAAAAAAAAGTTAATTTGCAGTGCTAGGATCACACAGGTTTGGATCTTGTCAATGAAATTCGATTCTGGGTGTGGTTTGGCCTCAGCATAGGCCAGGGTGAGGTTGGACTTTATTCCAGGTTCGTTGTATGTACATGCACCCAGAACATGAGATAGTTTTATCAGTCTCTGTCTCTTCCTCTGTATATGTCCAATCTGTACTGAGTCTTAAACTTGATGCTTTGATTTCTCAGGAGAACCTGTGCCTGTCAGGGGCTGGACCCAGAGACCTTCGGTGCCTCCTTTTCTTTTGGTTGTTCATGGAGCATGTACTACAATGGATGTAAGTTTGCCAGAAGCAAGAACCCAAGAAAATTTAAGCTGCTTGGGGATGATCCAAAAGAGGTTGGTTTACTTCCTGCTGTATAATCTTATTTTCCATAGGACCATGGATGAAGGGAGCAATGGGACATATTCTGGTGATGCTCTTATTCACAGGATTTCATAGCTGATGAATCAACACAATGCAAATAATGTAGAAAGTTAACCTAACCAGGCCAAAGCAATAGCTTTGAACTTGAGCATCACAAGTTCTTCCTACAGATAGCCTTTTAGATTATTTTTCATGTTAACTGAAGAATGTGAAGAGGCTGTCTCTTCAGTGTGGAACCTAAATTAGGATTGGTGATAAGTATCTTTAAATTGGAATTTGTATTAGTCATGTTCATGATCATCACATTCAGAAGTCATTTATAACCAATTTTCATTACATGCCAAAGGATTTAAGTTACTGTAGGGAGTGTATTCAAAAACCTAACAGATTTGAACATGCAAGGGTTGAAGTAGGTGAACACTGATTTCTCATTGAAACCACCTCTAAATTACCTACTGCATAACTTTTGGGTTGGCATAAAATCTAATAGCATTTGGACCATCATGTGGTCTAGAGCCTGCTCACTGAGCAGGAAACCTCAGTATACTTTGCATTTGAATGTGACCAAATTTCTCTGTATATGCCTTGTGGATTATTTTTAAATTTTTAAGTACAATTAAATTCTATGGAAAATTTTCTAAGTTTACTATCTATGTCTATAATGAAAGAAAAACAAATTAATGAACTCATGTTACAATTTCTTTTCTGAGGGATCTTATTTTCTGTAATAAAGATCTTGATAGGTGTTTGTCACTTCAACCAGTTTCCATGAAAAATCCAAAAAAGAGCTTTTTCTTTTTGTTGCAAGATGAAGATTTGAACTCAGTAACTGATGCTTTGCCTATTGGCTGTCACTCTACCAACGGAGCCATGATTCCAACCCCAAAGAACTATATCCTTATTGATCTCTTAAACTGAAGGTCTCCATACAAAGTCCTTCTTGTCTTCTAAATTTTGTGTCTCCAAACCTCCTCCCCCTC